CCCAGGGGCCCACCTCTGCTCCGTGAGGCGTCCCTGTCCCCCGGGCCCAGCGCTGACCCAGGGGCCCACCTCTGCTCTGTGAGGCGTCGGTACTTCTCCCGGTCGGCGTTGTTGATTTTCAGCAGAGGCTGCAGGTGGTCGTGGTGAGTCCTCACGTTCTGGTTGTCCACGTAGACATCATAGAGCTCCCGTTTCTCCTCGAAGATCTTCTCTGTGGTGCCTGTGGGGGGAAGTGAGGGGTGCCTGCTGACCCTGGGGACAAGGAGGAGGGGTGCCAGCCCGCCCCTGGATGCAGAGCCACGGCAGTGCTGGGGGGAGGGGGTGCCCACACTTACAGGCTACGTAAGACATCTCCACCTCCAAGCTGTCGATGTCGGTCACATTCACGTAGAAGAAGGGTTTGGACTCGGGGATGGTGCCCCCAATGCCAGGCAGAGAGATGTTGGCCAGGCAGCAGCAGCAGTACACTGTGGGGCAGCGGGGGGCTCAGCCAGCTCCCACCCTCTGCCCCTCGAGCCCAGGCCAGCACCACTCTGCTTTCAGCCCTGGGCACTCCTGAGGTGACGGGGCCTCGTGTGGCACCATGGAGACATGCTGGTCAGGTCCCAGAGACAACATCCAGCCTGTCTCAGTAGATCCATAACTGTGGGCCTCCTGCCTCTGCACCCAGCACCTTTGGGCTCCCCCGCCACACCTGCTGACCCTGGTGTCCACCTGCTGTGTGGCACGTGCAGCCTCTGCTCCCAGCCCCATGACCATCAGTACCATGAATGAGACATGCTCGTCTTAAACCCCAGCCCGAAGGTCCAGCCCCAACCTCACCGGTGGATGATCCCCTCACACCAACCTTATGTGACAGACCCCCATCTTGTCATCCTAGACTCCCCTCCCTTACAACCTCACATCTACCAAACACCAGGTTTTCCCATCTGGATTCCATCCTCTGCTTTAAGGCAGCCGCTCATCTGTCAGCAGACCACCGGATCCATCCCCTGCTCCAGCTCCTCCATCATCCCAGAACCCCCACTCTGAAGCCCAAACCTGACTCTGACAAAACCCTTCTGCTTGGGGTCACCACGGGGAAGAGCCAGCAGTGTGCTCCGGGAACCCCCGGCAGTGTGCCAGGCTGCCTTCTAGTTACCTCGATAGCAGACAACGCCCACAGGCGGCGGGGAGAAGATGAGGATGCGTTTCCGTAGTAACGCAAACTTCCACAGGGTGAGGATCCGTTCTCCGAAGAACTTGATGAACTGAGACATGCAGCCGGCCGGGTGTGTGATCTGGAACACAGAGCCGGAGAATGGATGATTGAGAGAAATATGGCCCGAAACAATATTCAGTGCCGGAACATGATAAACACCCCAAACCCCAGTGCAACCACACAGATCTACACAAAGTGCTACTTTTCCCTTGAAAACGCTTAGACCGGGACTGTTCTCATCAGATGCCATGGAGTTGGTTCCGGCTCACAGTGATCCCACGTGCAACCTAAGGAAAACACTGTCTGGCCTGCACAGCGTCATGGCTGTTGTGTTAATTGTAAGCCCATTGTTGTAGCCACCGTGTCAGACCCTTGTTGAGGGTCTTCCTCTTTTACGCCGACCCTCTATTTTAGCAGGCATGACTTCCTTCACCAGGGGACTTGTTCCTCCTGATGACAGAAACAGTAGCCCCCTGGCACATGAAGCTTGCATTTAGGGATACTTTACTGGGGACACTGTTGTAGAATTCTCGCCTTCCATGCAGGAGAGCCAAGTCCCATTCCCAGCCAATGCACCGCCGTAGCCCCTCACCGTGCCCCATCTGTCAGTGGGGTGGGGGCTTGTGAGTTGCTACGATGCCGAACAAGCTTCGTTAGAGCTTCCAGACTAAGACAGACGAGGAAGAAGGGTCTGGCATTCAATGTCTGAAAATCAGCCCATGAAAATGTACTGGGCACAACGGTCCCCCCTGAATCAATCACATGGTGGCACAAGGTCGGACACAGCTTCATTCCTTTGTGCATGGATTGGCTGGGAGTGAGGAGCTGACTCCACCACAGACGTGCCAAGGGCGCAAAGCTGAATTCAATTTTCTAGAAGTGTCTGCAGTAAAAACGCACCTCGATGAAAAAACTCAACTCCAAACCCTGACTGGGCACTGGGAGGGCACAACAAGCAAACGGCCCCAGCTGAGCTTGTCAGGCAAGTGTGGGAGACCACTAGGTCCTGCATGCCCACCTGCCTCCCTTGCCTGCTGACCCCAGCTTCCTCAGAGCCAAGATGGTCTGGGAACTCAGGCCCCGGACAGGCTGAAGCCCCCTCTCCACTGCCATCTGCAGACACAGGGGCCCTGGGAACGGGTATTCACGTTTCCGGCTCACTTTCCTGATTGGTGAAACAAGGAGACATTCCTGTAGCTCGTGTGGCTGCAATGACACAAGGGAGGCCACACAAAATGCAGGTGGCCCTCTCTTTCTTGCCTTCAAAGATACTGTGTACATTAAAAATGGAAGGCTTCTGGCAACCCCGCATCCAACAAGTCTAGTTGTTCTCAAAACACTCCAAGCTTTTCCACAATGCCACTACAGATTTCTGGAGTCCTGGTGTGGCACTGCGGGTTAAGGTGCTGGACTGCAAAGTCAGTTTGAACCGTAAGGTTGGCAGTTCAAGCTCACCAGCTGCTCCTTGGAAACTCTCTACAGGGTTGCTATGGGTCGGAGACAACCTGATGGCTGCAGACTTCATGGATTATAGGCTAGTGTGAACGTAACCTTTACACGCACTAAGAAACCAGAACTTTGTGTCGCTCACTTTATTGTGAGATGTCTGGCACGGTACCCGCAGCGTCTCTGAGGTACGTCAGACTCCAGGTGAGGCACGATAGGATCAGCACCAGACTAGGAACCACAAGGTCGGCAGTTCAAACCCACCAGTTGCTCCTCAGAAACCCTATACAGGGTTGTAAAGAGTCGGGTTCGACAGCACTGATCAGCAACAACAATTGGTCTAATATGTGGCCACCCCCACTGTCCCTGATTGGTCATGCTTCTCTGGTGCCACTCCATGTGACTATTTTACAAGTCACAGTGTTGTCCCCACCAGGGACCCTCTGGAATGAGCCAACTCAGGGACACAGCCAGGCCAATAGGGGGCACCCAGTCCTGAGACTGGAAGGTTGAGATGGGCCCTCGGGCTAAAGTCGGCATCTTGCACTTCCCTCCTCACTACACACCCAGGAGGCTCCCTCCTCAACCAAGATGCCTCCCCAGGGGTCTCCCTTCACCTGATTTCTCTACAGGGTGGCCCTGGGTGTGTCTTGTGAGCAGGCACAGGAAGGGAAAAGGCAAGAACTAGCTTCCTGCCCGGGTGTATCTGTATCTGCCAACACCTCACACTTGGCCAGGTTTTTGGTTAAATGTGAACAGACATAGTCTTGTGACAAAGCACTTCAGAAAAAAAGACACAAAAAAGTAGTATTTTAAAATACCATCAGTAAGAGAATACTATGCCTGCTCATCCAAAACATCATTGTTCAAAGGTCCAGCTTGAAATGACCTGACGGAACCAACAGACTCAAATCCAACCTCTTCCCTTCCTGGACCCACCAGCACCGGCCGGCCTCTCATACACAGCTCTGTGCTGTGCTGTCTAAATCTCAGCAAACCCATAATTGAAGACAACTTGCCCTAAAAGAACCTAATGCTCACATTACACGCTTGTTCCCATCCTAGTCTCCTGAAGGCAGAGGCCAAGCATATGTTCCTAATTAATTAAAAACTCATGCAGACTACCGGATCAGCCACAGTGCATGCTGAGAGCTGACCGACCTCACCTTCATCTCGGGGTACATGTACCGGTGGATGGAGGACAGCCAGTAGACGGGAGGCAGGCGGCTGCCTCTCCCTGGACCAGTGTGGAGCACCCCTTTCTTGTCCTCGTAGAACGCAGCCAGATGAGAATAGTGTCCCGGCGTCTCCAGCTGGTGCCTGCATAGCACACACACAGGGACACATGCACATCCACACAGAGAGACGGTGAGAACAGTGCTGGACACACACACCCTGCCCCTAGTCACAGCACGAACATGATCCCCAACACCCCACTTTTGGGGCCACAGAAGGGCCTCAGGAAAAGCTTGTATGTGGGCCTGGCACACTAATGGTGCCATGTCACAGTGCCCTTCTCTTGGGAAACAGACAAAATTAACAGACCGTGAGTAACACCTATTGTTCTTGAACGAGGTACAAAAAACAGCATGTACTTCCGGGAGAATGGTTGTCCACTGGGGAAAAAAACTGTGAAAGCTACACAGCTCTGCTGAAAGCCACTTTGTCTGGGAACTAAGCTTGTTTCCTCTCTTTGTTGTCAGAAAGACAAAAGAGAAACACCCACCCTAACATCTGCCCTAAGGAGCGTTCGTCATGATTGGATGGACTCCTACTTCAGCACTAAAGAGCATCTGAATGCACCTGGACTCCTGGCTTCACTGCACCGTTACCCACAAGAGCCAAAAGGTGACAACACCCTAGTGTCCACCAAAAGATGAAATTGATCAACACAATGTGGGCCATCCAGAAAATGGACTAGTAGTCAGCCACAAAAAGAAATGAAGTCCCAAAACACACTACAACATGGGTGGACCTTGAAAACAATAAAGAAGTCAGACATAAAAGGGTAAATACTGTCGGAGCCCACCTAGGTATAAAGGGCGTACTATGGAGGTAATGCTCATTCGTGGTTCCCAGGTGCAGAAGGAAGGGAGAAGAGGGAGGTGTTGCTTACGGGGCGTGGTGGTTAAGGTTCTGTGTTTCCTTGACTGGCCAGTCTCTTGGTGGTCCGCCAATGAAGATGGAGCCATCCCTTGAAATCTAATGTCACGTCATGACTACCCTGATGAGCTCTGTGGTGAGCAGCCACTCAATTGAAAGAGGTTTCCTCCGAGCCAACGTACTGGACACTGAAGCAAAGCTTGCTTGCTTCCTGCTAGGTCTGGATCCATCTGGTTCGTCATCTGATCTGCAGCACTATGGCCTTGAACTAGTGGCCTGGGAGTCATCTGCAGCCTGTCTTCTTACCTGCCCAACTTGCCTGCCAGCTGTCTGACCATCTGACCCACAGTCTCAGGGCTGGCTTAACCCTACAACTGTCAGAGGCATTTCCTGGCTAAAAACGTCTCGTTGCGTGTGTATATATAAGCTTCACTGACCTGGCTTCTCTAAAGAGCCCAGATGAAGACACGGACACTGATGTCCTGTTAATGGTGATGGATGCCAGTGCTGATCGTCCAACATTATGAAAATACGCAATGTCACTGAATTGTACATGTGGGACATGTGGAATCTGTAAACGTTCTGATAGATATGTTGTTGTTTAGCGCTGTCAAGTCATTTCTGACTCATAGCAAGCCTGCACAGGATTTCTGAGGAGCAGCTGGTGAGCTTGAGCCGTCAACCTTGCTGTTCAAACCGACCTTACGATCCAGCGCATTAGCCTGTAGCAACACATCAGGACTCTCTCTCTCTCACTACATATATATATATATGTAGTGAGCAAAGTTTTGCTAAAGGTAATACAGAAACGACTGCAATCATACATTGACAGAGAACTTCCAGAGGTTCAAGCTGGATTCAGAAGAGGCC